TAAGCCAGGTCTTTAAGGTTCCATGTACAGTGTTTTCTCTGATATAGCTGTCATATATAGGATTCTGGCTTTACAGCTAGCGCCCTTTTGACAGGTCAAGACGAGGAAGCATGCTTTGTGCATCAGTTACCAGGGTGTTGGAAGCTACCTCACACGAGGAAAATGTGGTGTCTACATCCTGGTTATACCTGGTGGACTAAGGCCTGCTGTACAATAAGATAAGGAACCTTTTCAATGTATGTAGTCTAATACTGTAGTTTGATTCGCTGCATATATATAAATTCAATAATATAAACCCCCCTAATGTGTAGAGGATCGATTTGTGAGATTATGAGATTATTGCAGAAATACAGTCCACTTAACATCATACAAATTGCTATCGAAGTATATAAATTAATGTAAATATAAATTCTATATAAATTCATATAAATTAAATAAATATAAATCTCACAGGTCGGTTCCCACAGAGGCAGACTCCATATACAGTTTCAGATGTTGATTTGATAGAGCCCAATAGGCTCCAGAATCTATACACCAGTTGATTGATAGTTGAGAAGTGGAACCAAAGAGCCAAAGCTCAACCCCCCACAAGCACAACTAGCTGAGTATGTACAGTATTATATTCTAAGATCAAACAGTGTTTTTGCTGTTATTACACTATATACACATGTTATATATAACTATCTACATTTTTTTGTGCACCATAATGAACCACAAAGATTGTGTGACAGTTTATTTACTTTACATAGAACAAGCATCCAAGGTCAGCCTATCGGCCGAGAGCAGTGTGTGGCAGGGACTGCCCCAAATACGTTTTTACATTGCTATTTCAGTGTCTGTGAATGCTTTTATATGTGGTTTTTTGCAATATTATTATTTAATAATATATAATTTGTGGAATTCCTTTACTGTAAATGCTGGCTCATACGTCGACCCTCAAAAAAAAGTGTGTAATTCAGGTTTAGGCCTATACAGTATTCACCGCATAACATGATCCCCCAAAATAAGGCAACACCACTTTCCCTGCCCCACTGTATAGAAAGAATAAACTATGATATCTCAAATATACTGTATGCTGGGGCGCCAGACAGCTGAGTAGACAGCACTTCGGATTCGTAGTCCTGAGGTTCCGGGTTTGATCCCCGGTGGAGGCAGAGACAAATAGACAAAATGTTTCTTTTACCCTGATGATCCTGTTACCTAGCAGTAAAAAGGTACCTGGGAGTTAGACAGCTGTTACAGCTGCTTCCTGGGGAGTGTGTAACTAAAAGGAGGCCTAGTCGAGGACCGGGCCGCGGGGACGCCTAGCCCCGAAATCATCTCAAGATAACCAAGATAGCTTAATGAATATTTACCACATAAAGCAGGTTTTGTCAGTGGTTGTCTATTTACCACATAAAGCAGGTTTTTGTCAGTGGTTGCCACGGCAGGCCGGTGGTTGCCACGGCAGGCCGGTGGTTGCCACGGCAGGCCGGTGGTTGCCACGGCAGGCCGGTGGTTGTCAAGGAAGGAATGGGGTGTTAGTGGCGGAAGTTGTCAGGAAAGGTACGTGAAGGTGTCCCCCACAAAGGCCTAGCTCATGGACTTAAGCTAGCCTCGACCAAACATTTGTATTCATTAACCCCCCCTATGCTGCTAGGCTATTAATAACCTTTAACAAATAAACTGAGCAACACATCATACGATGTGTTGAGTAACTTGCCCAAAAGTGCACATCACATATGACGAGTTTCAGTATTACGCATGATTTAAATGGCCCGCGGATACACTGGGTTCACCTCGCCTTCCTCAGGGCTCTTGTAAACATACGGCATTTTTAAAAACAATCGTGGGCAACATTCCCGAGTGTGAAGGCTTCAATACTGAATGAGCCATCAAGGCTGGCACACTCAGCATGAGCTCACGGCATTGCTGTTCAATTTGTGACCACAGCATCACCTAAAAAAGTAAAAAATATATGTAACTGGTATTATTTAGCAATGATAGTACTACTGATGACCCCGACTGTGATTAAAATGGCCAGAATTTTGATAATAGCAGGATTGTTGTGATAAATAGCGCTGTAGTGGGAGGAATAATCTTTATGGGGAGGGAGGTAGCATTGTCTGCTGACTGTGTGACCACCTTTTACTCTCTGGACTCATAATACCAGCTTAGTGGTTTGCTATGGTGAAAAAACATGCAGACATTTATATATAACGTCTGTATATAGTGAATAAAAGCAAAAGCAGTATGGGGGAGAAGAATGTTGGCGAGTCAGAGTGGGGCAGCCAGTGGCTGGCTGCCTGGTGTGCCGGCCACTCCTTGCTGATTTTGACTCGATACCAACTTAGCGGTACTTTATAGTGAACACAAATGTAAATACTTATGTATAACGTGTAAATAGTGTAATAACAGCAAAAGGAGTGTTGGGAGAAGCCATTTTGGTGAGGGAGGTGGCGACATCTGCATGACTTGTCATGTTGGGTAATGATGGCTACTATGCTCTTTGGGCACTATACTAGCTTAGCTGAACAGTTATAGTGAACAAAACATGTAGATACTTTTATTTAATGACTGTAAAGAGTGTAATAACACCATAAATGGTACACTTAATGGAGGAATGTTTAATGTTTCTGGCCTTGAACCAGTGAGTGAGGGAGGGAGGGAGCATCAGTTGTATGTGGCCATCTGTTACTGTCTGCCGTCACAATACAAGATTAGTGGTTCGCTATGGTGGACACAAATGTAGATACTTGTATATTACGTGTTTATATAGTGTAATAACAGCAAAAGGAGTGTTAGGAAAAGCCATTTTAGTGAGGGAGGTGGCGTCATCTTCCTGACTTATGCTGTGTACCACTATGATCTTTGTTCACTATGCCAGCTTAGATAAACAGTTATGATGAACAAAACATGTAGATACTTGCATATAACCTGTGTATATAGTGTAATAACCACAAACGTTTTTGTTTATTGTTCAATGAACATAATTGAATCAATAATAGGCATACTATAATTTTGAGTATAGCAATGATTCACACATTTTATTATATAAATATATCACACTACACACTATTGAATATTATTACCGAGAAAAAAAAAGTGAAATAATTAGGTATTATCATCTTTGTGGCAACTCCCGCCTGACAGCTGGGGGAAGAGCAGACCTCGTCTGGCGCCTGCTGTCAATGTCTCTTTTTTGCCAGACTTCACCGCCCTATTACAGCCAAAATATGCCACTTACGATTTTATTTTTATTTTTCCTATGATCAGGGAACACAAATTAACAGGTTTATAAGAAAAAATAGATTTATGTGCCTGTGGGTGCCAAATGCCAAATAGCGCAGAGCATCTATAGGGTTAACACCACAATGTGCAAGAAATAAAAAAAATTGTCATATAAAAGTGTTCATTTGTGTTCTCTGACCACGGAGAAAAACAAAACTAATTGTTCTTACTAATGAAGTAAATGAGCTGAGAAGTGTGACGATGAGGTGGTTTGAGGCCTCGTAGCCTGGTGGATAGCGCGCAGGACTCGTAATTCTGTGGCGCGGGTTCGATTCCCGCACGAGGCAGAAACAAATGGGCAAAGTTTCTTTCACCCTGAATGCCCCTGTTACCTAGCAGTAAATAGGTACCTGGGAGTTAGTCAGCTGTCACGGGCTGCTTCCTGGGGGTGGAGGCCTGGTCGAGGACCGGGCCACGGGGACACTAAAGCCCCGAAATCATCTCAAGATAACCTCAAGATGACGTTACTGATTGTGCTCACTCACACAGTGTGCGTGGTCCAGGTGTTGTATGCAGCATTCAAGCCACCAGAGTTGCCGCAAATTTATTTTCGCTGCATTATTTACAATGTATCTCATATTTTCCCCCATGGAACTGTGATACATGTGTCAGTAATGTGTCCACAATAAATATTTAGTCACAATATTGTTCAAAATTCACTAAAATTACAGTATGTACAGTTTCACACACTATTTACACAGTAACACACTATTACACTGTGTAATACAGAATCACACACTGTATTATCAGTGCTTTGATAAGTACTGTGTGATCATCATGAGTGATAACTTAACAGTTCATGGTACAGAATGCGACTTCGCTCTCGATGCATCAGGTAACAACATATTTTCACTTCCTGTTTCTTTGTTGTGTGCTTGCAAATAACACACACACACGCGTACACCCTTGGCTTTAGAACCTGTAGGTGGTATGTAGCCAAGCTTGTGAAGTGTAAGGTAGTCTTGAAAACATCGCTTTGTAAGATGTTCTGGAAGAGTCAGATATTCTGGAAGAGATTCACTTATTCTGGAAGAGATTCAGTTATTCTGGAAGAGATCAGTTATTCATGACAATGATAGAAAATACCACCATGAAAGCCATTAACACTGTTCATCTATGCAACTTGTATCAGATGCATTATCACTCAACCCAGAAGACGATTTATCTATGTATCTATAAAAAATTAAACATCACACGGGATGAGCCTGGGATGGAGCTCAGCTACAACTGGATACGCTCGCTGTATCGTCCTCATCGGTGCTGTATCATTTGCATCCGACCCTCGTGTTAGATCCTTATTGCACCTATCTTCATCAATATCATGACCCCTATGTTCTTCAAACAATATGGTCTGAATTTCACTGACGAAGAGCGATCTATCAACACCGCGTCCAACAGGGAGCCAGAGGCGTATGCGCCACCCTTGGTTGCTCATTCAGAAGTGATCCTGTCTGCAGGTTTAGGGAGATCTGGAATTTTTTTTTCAAGATGGCTGCCTCTCACTGGATGTCCCAGGAGTCCATATCGTTCTCAAACTACCGTGCTCGCGTTTCGACTGTGTACGGAAAAATCAAGAAGGGTTTTCTTGGTTGGCGCAGTAACAGGTAAATAAGATTTCATGGCTGGCACAGTGCAGTGGTTAACACCCCAAAAACAAACAAAATAAAGAAAAACAATAAGAATTAGCCACAAGTGTTTAAAGAATTAATAATCATTACAATGTACAGTACCTTCAAATCACGGTAGATTATTTTTCTTTCATGTAAGTAGCCAATGGCAAGACAAATTTCTGCTCCATAAAACCTTGCACGCTCCTCAGGAAATGTATGTGCCTCGTTAAGGTGGAAGAACAATTCTCCACCACTGACATACTCCATCACAAAGCAGAGATGGTCATTTGTTTGGAATGAGTACTTGAGGTACTGCAAATAAAATAAAATTACTGCTCGTACTGCACATTAAATGATACCTTTTATTATTGATAATATTTTAATTATATATTGAATTATTAAGTTTTAAACAAATTTAGACAGTAAATTTACCTTTAGACAGTACAAATTCACTTACAGTGAGGAAAGGATGATCCACAGCTTTTAGCACAAAGTTCTCAGTGCGTGTGTGGGCCACCTCATCACGTTTGACGATAACATCTTTACGCAGGATCTTCATAGCATAGGTTTGATAGCTCTTCTGCCAGAGTTAATTGCTTTAAATATCATTATGTTTATGATTACATAATACAGTACCTAGAAACTACAATGAAATTGCTTAAGGCTGTAAGTAAATAAAGAGAAGCTACTTTTTGTATATCAATTAGTTGCTACCCAAGATAATATTCACCAATTCCATACAACCATATCGTGTACGTTCAGGAAGATCAACATTAAAAAACTAAGCCCTCCTTGGCAACACACGACTCCCTATGGGGCACCCTCACTAGCTATCCAACTGACTTTCCAGGCTGCCTCCATTGACAGTTACGATATGGAAGCATCAAATCCAGAATAAGATGCCCTTTCATTCACTTGCACCATAGGACCCTCGCACCCATGACCACTGTAGTGGAAGACAGTTCTACCGACCTCGTTTGAGGCACCTTACATACTTCCAGGTGAGAAGGATAAAAACCTCAACAGTGCAAGAGCCTCTGAGAGGCCTTCTTTGAAATATTCTCATACTTAATATTTTAAACAAATACTTTGGGGCTCTATTCTGCCACATGCTCTAAAATCTTTTTAGTTAATTTTGTATGTAAAAATAAAATTTATCATTAGATAATGATAAGTCCACCCATGGATGTTAACCAACAAACTAACACTAAACATAGAAAAGAACTACTACATTATATTTGGAAGTAGATCAACAAATGCAATTCAGCTTCAGATAGACAATGTTAACATCAGTAATAATGATGGAAAGTTATTTAGTCTATACCTAGTCAAGTATCAACTTCAGCACCCACATACAGGGGCCTTGTAGCCTGGTGGATAGCGCGCAGGACTCGATTCCCGCACGAGGCAGAAACAAATGGGCAAAGTTTCTTTCACCCTGAATGCCCTTGTTACCTTGCAGTAAATAGGAACCTGGGAGTTAGTCAGCTGTCACGGGCTGCTTCCTGGGGTGTGTGTATGTGGTGTGGGGAAAAAAATAGTAGCTAGTGAACAGTTGATTGACAGTTGAGAGGCGGGCCGAAAGAGCAAAGCTCAACCCCCGCAAATACAACTAGGTGAATACAACACACAATTAAGAAAGTCTAAAAAAAAGTTGGTATACTTTCTAAAATCAGATATTATGTTCCAAACTCTCCTCATTATACTACACGCTAATCTATCCCTATCTTACATACGGTATATGTACATGGGGTTCAACCACTGCAAACTACCTCAAGCCCATCATCACTCAGCAAAAATCTGCAATCAGAACACTAGCAAATTCTGTTTTCAGACAGCACACTGCCTCTCCGTTTAACCCCTAGGAAGTGCTTGCAATTATAGTCTGCACGGCGATTATAGCCTGGGCATTTCTTGCCCAGGCGCAAGAAATATAAAAAATATATATTTTTCGTCTTGTAAGTGTTCATTTGTGTTTCCTGATCACAGGGAAAAAAATAATAAAAATCGTAGGTGACATTTTGGCCGCATTATGGGGAGAATGTCTGGCAAAATTTGTCCAGATACAAATACACAGGTAGAGAATTTACCATACATGCTGGTGTACAAGTCAAGATTTGAAGTCTAAAATCTCTCCAAAACCATTGGTCAACTTGCCGCCGAATATAAAATGTGAACCTTTAACACTGAGAGATAAGTGAAATGTCCGGCCTAACATTTCCCGTACACCACCACCAGGAAAGAAGTGAATTGGGCATGGTATAGGCAAGCTAGGAGGCTTCAGGAAAGCAGGGAGGCTGGAGTGGGTATGAGTGGGTGGTGTCTGGAGTGGGTGTAGGTCAGGAGAGGGTGTAGGTATAGTAGGTATTGGTGGCAGGAGTGGGTGCGGTGAGTGGCAGGAGTGGGAATGAGTGTGGTAGGTATGGCGAGTGTCAGAAATGGGTGTGGTAGGTATGGTGGGTGTCAGGAGTGGGTGTGGTAGGTATGGTGGGTGTCAGGAGTGGGTGTGGTAGGTATGGTGGGTGTCAGGAGTGGGTATGGTGGGTGTCAGGAGTGGGTATGGTGGGTGTCAGGAGTGGGTGTGGGTGATCCTAAATGTGGTTAATGTCCTTGTATGTAAATCACCTGAGGCAAATCCTTAGCAGTTTAAAGACCAACTAATGAAAATAGAACACTGCTTGGAAAACCTCTCAAATCCAGCACGAATCATCATCCTGCTTGGGGACTAACCTACGACACCTGAAATGGAAGCACCTAGCTAATACAGTTATATCAGAGAGAATACCAGGAAGTAGCCTAAATGAATAGGCACCTGCAAATGACATGCTGCGGATGTGCAACAGATGCCTTAAACCAGCAAATAGTAGAACCCACTTGAAAAGAGAACACGTTGGACCTCATTTTCACTAATAATGATTTGATCAGGAACATAAATGATTACAAATACCTGTTGCTCAGATCACAACCTAATTGAAGTTCTAAGAAGCATGGGGAGTAGACCTGCACAACCAGTCCCGAGTCCCAGGGGAGAATTCAGCAAATCAACTTTATTATTAAACAGATTAACTGGGAGCAAATAAACCAAGACCTCACAGAAATAAGCTGGGAAGAACAGCTATAAATGCAAACCTGAACCAGTGCCTGGAAAAAATAAACTCAGTAGCTAAAGAAATATTCTCAAACCAAATATCCCCAAGAAAAAAAGAAACATGTAAATGGGAACGGCGTTCCCTTTATAGGCGAAAAAACGAATCACGAAAAAACTTGAGTCACACCCTAACTCAAGAACGACGAAGACGGCTAGGTAGAGAAATAGAAACGATTGAACTAAAGCTACAAGAAATACATAAATTCCAAGAGAGACAAAGAGCAAAAGGCCATCAGTGAGAGAAATCCAAAATATTTTTTCTCCTCTGTAAATCAAGATAATTAATTTATTTATTCATTTATTTATTTATTTATATACAAGAAGGTACATTGGGTTTGAGAGAATACATAGCATAGTATTTAAAATCTCGTAAAGCCACTAGTATGCACAGCGTTTCGGCCAGGTCCTTAATCTAGCATAATTTCAACTACATCTAGTTTCGGCCAGGTCCTTAATCTAACAATTTCAACTACATCTAGTTTCGGGCCCCTGCGAAAGGGAGATATGGAATTTTCACAGATGACAACAAAGAAATGAGCAAAATACTGAGGAATCAATATGACTTCAGTGAGCCACTAAACACACTGAAGATTGCTAATCTAAATGAATTTTTCATGGATGTGATACTAACATCAAATCATATATCAGACGTCACCCTATTCCCACTGTATATTGAAGATGCCGAAGAAAGTATGCCTATGCACTCTGCACCTGGCCGTGATTCTTGGAAACTATTTTCATCAAGAACTGTAAAAAACACTAATGCCAGCCAACCTGTCCTCTTAAAAAGAACGTCGCTTTTGGCCGTTTGCCCGTATGGCCGAATTTGGACGTAATTTGAAAATGAAAAAAAAATGAAAACAAATTTGGATTTTTTTTTTTCAACAACAGTAAGTAAGGGTCCTCTGATAGGTTAGGTGGGCAGGAAATTCTTATAAAGTTTCAAAACGTTATGAAAACGTTAATTTAAAGTGTCCTCTTATAGCCTCTGCGCGTAGGCAGGACGACTCAAACAGAAAACGGAACAGAACGTCACTTTTGTGAGTCGATTTCATTTCAAATTACGTCCAAATTTAGCCATATCGCGCATACGGGCCAAAAGTGACGTTCTTTTTAAGAGGACGGGTTGAATGCTGGCACTTCACAATTTTTGGAGACGGAGCGTTGATACTGGCATTATCCCCGACATACTAAAAACAGCAGAGATAACATCATTTCATAAAGGAGGAAATAAGAGGCAAAAAATTACAGACCGATAGCACTATCATCATCACGCATCAGGGTGGTACAGTGGTGGATGTTGCGGCTGGCAGTCCGTTGGTTGCGAGTTCGAGTCACCCAAGACCTGCAGTTGATTTTCTCATTGATATATATGCGAGTGTGATTTCTTCGTGTAATAGCATTAATATATTAAATGAGATAGGGAAACGTGGTAAGGAAGTTTAATGGTATGACTACCTCGTTAGCTTGTTCGATCCCAAACGTTCAGACATGAACCGAAACCCGACCGTCGGTGAGAATATCGTCAGATGTAATACGTGCAAACAAGTGCAAACGGGTTAGAAGACGGTGTTGGATGAGGAACACATTATTTTTATTACACCGTTGGAATATAAAACCCCATGTGTCAACACCTGCATCAGTGGAGCTCCGGGATATTTCAAAATTCCTAAGTATTGTAGAACAGGTTGATAGTGAGTGGTGTCCCAAGGAACATAAAAGTGTAGTGCTTTAGAAAAATAGGCGAGATAAAATGACTGCCAGAGGAAGTGAACAAATTGGATGAGAAAAAGTTGCCCTAGTGTTCACAGTGGAGAGGACTAAATTCAAGATGGCCGCCGGCAAGAAGAAAAACAAGGCTGGAAGTCAGAAAGAAACTGGCATCAAATCCTAAATTGGTGCAAAACACAATCGATCGAAATAAGTCCCTGATAATTTTTGGTGCAAATAAAAGAAGACAACATCTAGTTCAGAAAGAGCTGTAGAAGAAGACAAAGTAGTAGATAAAATTGTTTTGGACTAGTGGAAGGTCTTACGACCATAGAGAATGTCTGCGTCTACAGAAGAATTGGAAGGTACGTAAAAGAAAAAGATCGACCTTTGAGGATCACCCTAAACGGTGCCAAACAGATGGAAAATGTATTAAGGAATACTAAAAAATTACAAAGTGATGAGGAAGGGAAAGTATGGTCGTTAAGACGAGATTTTTCAAAAGAAGACAGAATAGCTGAAACCGAACCTCGTAGAGGCAAAACGTCTAAATGAGAGCAGGAATGAAGAAGAAATCAATTCTTTTTTCAACAAAGTGATAGGGGTAGGCAGACCAGTAAAGTGGTACATAAAGGCAAACTATCAATATCACTAGAGAAAGGGGTAAGTGGAGGAGGAGAGGGGGGACCATGTTCCTGAAAATTGCATACACCAACATAGAT